GTTTGGCCCTGTAGTCAGAGTGCTCAATGGAGTTGTCAGCGGGACTGCCGGCTGCTGCTGCTGCCGCTGCCGCCGCCGCTGATCCTCCGCCCTTCTCCGGTCCCGACACGCCCTCTGCCAGAAGCATGTTGTCAAGACGCATCAGCTGTGGATCCGGCGGGTCCTCCTCCTGAGCCCCGCGGATACTTAGACCTGATAAACAACAAGAAGCGATCGGTCAGTGATATGGCGAGGCTTTTTATATTCTTAAACAGTTTTGAATCAATTTATCGTACTAGATGTATGACTCTTTTCAACTGTGGAACACAAAAGATTATATTTTGATACTCTTAAAGTCAATTAAAGTCATTTGGGCCCAAAGAAAACATGGACCCCAGTGACATTTTTCAAAATATGTTTTAAGATTTTGAAAGGGTTTAGTTAGTGAGCATGCTCTGAAAGGGATAGTTTGGCCAAAAATGCACAGTCTGTCATCATTTACTTGTTCCAGACCTGTTTGAGTTTTACACTTACAGGGATAGTTCACCCAAAAATGATTTAAGTCATTAATTATTTATTATTTAAGTCATTTATTACTCACCTTCATGTCATTCCAAACCCGTAAGACCTTCGTTTATCTTCGGAACACAAATTAAGGTATTTTTGATGAAAACTGAGAGCTCTCTGAACCTCCCATAGACAGCAAGGGTACTACCACGATCAAGGTCCAGAAGTGTAACAGGGAAATTGGTAAAATAATCCATGTGACATCAGGGGTTCAACTGTAATTTTATGAAGCTACGAGAACACTTTTTGTGTGCAAAGAAAACAAAGATAACGACTTTATTCAATTTATGCGTTGTTTACATGAAGCGGAAGCAAGCGCATGCGTCCTGATACTCTGTCCACAATGGCGGTGCGTCTCAGGAGACTGGATGAGGAGGAGAAGAATTGTTGAATAAAGTTGTTATTTTTGTTTTTTTTGCTCACAAAAAGTATTCTCATAGCTTTGTAAAATGACAGTTGAACCCCTGATGTCACATGGATTATTTTACAGATTTCCTTGCTTTGTTTCTGAGCCTTGATCGTGGTAGTACCCTTGCTGCCTATGGAGGGTCAGAGAGCTCTCGGATTTCATCAAAAATATCTTAATTTGTGTTCCGAAGATGAATGAAGGTCTTACGGGTTTGGAATGACATGAGGATGAGTAATTAATGACAGAATTTTCATTTTTGGGTGAACTATCCCTTTAAGTATAAAACCCAAACAGGTCTGGAACAAGTAAATGATGACAGACTGTTCATTTTTGGCCAAACTATTCTTTTCAGGACATGCTCACTTACTAAACCCTTTCAAAAACTTTATTATCTCTACATATTTGTAAAGGAATGTGATGGATACTGTCTAAACCAGACATAATACAACAAGTTTCCAGCAACAAGTTCTCAATGTTTAAAAAAAAAAAAAAAAGAAAAAAAAAAGAGAATGTAAGGACATATACTGCCTCGCTTGGGCCCGTCTGCTGCCCTCATGACCCATGAACGATGAAAGAGTAAATTCATTACTGACAAATGATTGAATTTCATAAAGGCAATAATCACAGGTGCACTATCACACGAGTAGTCAGCTCTGCAATCAAGCCTCTGTCTGTCAGCAAATACCACTATCTGTCACAACAGGCCAAAATAACTACAGACTGTATTAGAGTGAAAATACGCCGTCCACTCGGGCCCATCTCTATGCTTGAGTTAAAGTGAGACGGATCAGGGCGCTGGGGGTATTGAGAGAGTGCTGAAAAGGCCCGTAGGTACAAATGTGTTTTTCCTCTGTGTTGCAGTGCTGCCTTCTCGGATTTTCACAGCACACTGCACACACGGTGTGTGTACTCACAGCCATACATGACAGGGATAGTCACCGACTGACACACACTCAACGGCGTGATGGCACCTCTCCACACTGAGGCGATGCTAAACAGAAAGGCGCGCTTGTACACGTGTCTGAACGCGCTCGCCTGCTGTTCCGAAATCACGAGTACGGCGTAATAATGAGCAGAAAGTGTTCTCACAAGTGCCGTTATGTTTTGTTGTTAACAAACTGTTTTATTATACAACCCGGTTCTGCTCTCTGCAGAGGCCAGGCTGCTTGAAATGTATGTAAATTTGCATAGCAATCGATATGAGGGTGAAAGATAGCTCATTGTGTTTGCCTGATATTCATAATGAACCTTGGAGCAGTAAAGAGCCATTAAGATTGATTACAAACTTCCTCATCATGCTTGCCTCTCTCTCTTTCTCTCTCTCTGTGTTTGCATAATGAATTCCATTCATATAGGAGAATAATGAAGCAGAAAAAGTTCTTTTTGTGAAAGATTTTAATCAAACGTTTTAATCTTAACATGTATTTGTAACGGTGCCTCTCTAAGAAGATGCACACTGTCTGCGGCCTTCTGTGTTTGTTATTTGGGACACATCCCGATTTCTACTTTCATAGTAGTAGTGTTTGTCGTTAACCGTAAGAAACAATATTCTTGGTATCTAAAGCTGCCTGGATCACAGTTCTCTGCCATTTTGTTTTACCTTTTTATACAGAATTATGGGAACGTAAAGAATAGATCCCAATTAATTTTCATTCAACACATAAGCTTTAAAAGCCAGACATAAAAAACAGCCTTAAAACCAGAATTAAAACAAGCTGAAATTAACATACTATTATTCAGCTAACATAGGGGGCGAGAAATCATCATAAATGCACAAAGAAATGTCTAGGACTAAGACAAGTGTGTGTATGCTGTGGTTGGTCTGGGTATTTTGGACGGTTTAACTAGTGGGTGATTTGGGGGTTCTGAGAGTTTCTGAGAGCTTCATTACAGGCTTCATTAAGATACTGTGAGATGCTGAATCCTAAATGAGGAGATTACTGACTTTATTATTGCACTGTGGAAGCCTGGCAAGCAGCTAAGCCTCTCTGTGGGTTTGACAGAGACACAAAGACACACACACACATTACACACAAGAACACAGGTATGCTTGATGGGTAAACAGTTTAAATAAATTTGTTTTACATTTGAGTAGTTCAACATTACATTGGGAAACAAAACAAAAAATAAACAGAAATACACACTATCGTTCAAAAATTTGGGGTCAGTAAGGCTTCATTTATTTGATAAAAATCCAGTAAAAACAGGAATATTGTGAAATATTATTACAATTTAAAATAACTTATGTTTTTTTTTCAGGATTCTTTGATGAATAGAAAGTTCAAAAGCATTTATTTAATATAGAAATCCATTGTAACATTATAAATGTCTTTACCCTCACTTTTTATCAATTTAATGCATCCTTGCTGTTTAAAAGTATTAATTTCTTTCAAACAAACAAACGAAAAAATAAAAAAAAAATAAGTACATGCCTGCATTTAATAGCCGGCTTTGCCATACCACAGGACATTGCTTTATTTTTATGTCAACTACCTAGTTTATTTACTATATGTTGTTCAAATCAATCCCATAAACAAAATACGAGTTTGAACGCATATATACACACTAACATAATTGACTAAGGTCATACATTTGCAACGCTACACTTACTTCACAAACAAATATTTACACATTCATTTTATGGTTTTGCAAACAGACTTCAAGACTCGCTCCCATAAAGCACAACCACAAAAAAAAAAAAAAGCTACAATCCATCAATGCCTGCGGCGAGCAAACCCAGAGTACAAACAAACCCCACCAAACACGGACATTCTAGCTAACCCACTTTTGTAAATAAACAAAGACAAGACGCTGTCAACATGAAGAGACCATTTACTCGGCTAACAAAACAAATTTAAAGAGCGGCACCTTCAGCCCAGACTGCCTGGCCCGTGCGCTATTGATCAGGTGTTAGCTCATGTATGTGCTGTTGATATTAGGCCATGAGGTGTAATGGTGTGAGAGGCCGAGGATGAATGAGGTCATTTGTGTGAGACGCTCAGCTGGCTGTGCTGGACAATGCAGTGTCAGCGCACAGAGCCAAGGCCACACCAGGGACAATATGACCCTGCCCCACTGACTCCAAGAGCAGTCACACAACTACACATACACACAACCAACCAATCGCCAAGACATCAAGTTGATCCAGTCTTATTTCAGTACTTCGGGATACTATAATCGTTTTTTGGCAATATGCTGCATTAGTTAGATTTTTATTTTTTTGTTTCTGGTGTGTGTGTGTTTGTTATTATTATTATTATTAGGTGTATTAATGTTTGTAGTTTTAGTTATTTCAGTACATCAAGTTGATAGCATAATAGTTTTTATTATATTTTACTATTATTTTGAATTAGTTTTTTATTTTCATGCTTTCATATTTTCATTTTTATCCTTTTATTTTAATTTTAGTTAGTTTTAGTAATGTTGTTGTTTTTGTCATTTTATTATTTTTTAAATGATTTTTTTATAGTTTATATTAATTGTATTTTAATTTTAATGATTTTAGTACATAAGTTGATACTATATAGTTTTTATTACTATTTTGAATTTGTCTTCATTTTTCTATTTTTCTATTTTCATTTTTCTATTTTTAATTAATTTTGTTTTAATTTCAGTTTAAAAAGAAATCAGTACATCAAGTTTCTAGTATAATAGTTTTTATTATATTGTATTACTTTTTATTTCCATGATTTCATATTTTCATTTGTATCCATTTATTTTAATTTGAGTTAGTTTTAGTCATTTTGTCAGTTTTGTCATTTTATTAGTTTTAAATGTTTTTATAGTTTATATTAATGTTTTTAGTTTATATTAATTTTATTCTAATTTTAATGATTTTAGTACGTGTTGATACTATGTAGATTTTATTAATATTTTGAATTACTTTTAATTTTTACATTTTACATATTTCTATTTTTTATTCATTTTATTTTCATTTCAGTTAAAATTGTTGAAATGTTGTTGTGTTTTTGTCAATTTTTTATGTCTATATTATTTATTTATTTTTATTTATTTAAATTGTAGTTTTAATTATTTTAGTACATCAAATACAAATAAATGAAAATGAGAATGTTGCAAGTAAGTTTTTTTAAATATATATTTTATTTCAGTTGAGGTTTATTTTATTTAAAGTAATGATTTTTTAAAAGGTTTTAATTTTAGTTAACTACAATAACCCTGATTTGATGTGTACATCATTTTCATATGGATTAGCCCAAATGTTCCCTGTCAGATGTTA